CCGATTTGCGTTGTTTTCCTCGATTTTGACGTCCACCTGAATGATTACTACCCACCGTAGTCAAAGTGGCCGTGTCCTCCACAACCGAATCCATACCCTCCGGAACGAAATCACGAGCCCGAGTGTCTACCGGACTGATAACAGTCTCAGTTATCTGTGGAGGAGCGGTGGTTGAGGAACCCGGAGCGATAGAATCCTGTCGATCACTGGATGTTTTATTGATCGTACGCGTTTGCTCACTTTGGCCCTGGAGATTGACATCGTCTTCAGCACCGCTATAGGAACGTGAGCGAGTTCGCATGGGCACACCGCCCGATTTAGAACTTTCTCCACGGATAGAATCCGGACCTGTATTGGGATCGAAGCCATCCTTTGGAGTGCCAGATAAGCTTTCATCTCCTAGCATACATGGATACTGTTTCTGTTGGGGTTGTGGACCAATATCAAGGGTGCAGGCAATTAACTGAATGGGCCTAAAATTGCAAGTGGTTTCTTATATTGCACAAACATGTTATTAAATTCAGCTAAATTCAGTTCATTTTTAACCGAACGTTAATAATATACACGGCTTTGTTTGTTTGTGTATGTAATTCGGTGTATCAACAAAACAATAAACATATATCTTTTGCAATAAGTAGTATATGAATCACAGGAAGCACACAACCGTTATATATATATATATATATATATATATATATATATATATCAGGGTCACGTACAGACCTTCCAATAGATGAAGAACCACATCCAAGACGGAATAACAATCCTTCCCTCACCTTCACCACCTCGTAGCAGATCAACGACGAACCGAGTCGAACACGGTGAGAACAAAGGAGACAAATTGTCGGTGGAGAACACACATGTAAAGAAACGTGTACATGGGGACTACTGCCCATTTCCCAAGCACTGATGATGTCACCTTGTATACGTATATATTTCATGAATCTTTCCCTATACGACCAAAAAATAGCCATGGGTTTAACGCAGAATATAGGACCAGGAGGGGAGAAAAAAATCAGTCACCTTGGGGAATAACATTTTCTGCAAACAAATTGTCAAGCTCGACGAACAGGGGAAGGGAAATACAGATAAGCATTACACATGCACATACTCACACACAGGGATACTGCTTCCATTTGACGAAGTTGACCAGCAGACACCGTGTTTGATCTCTGTCCGTTTGTTTACTCTGCTGTCTACGTGTTAAACAGACTTTTTAATAACGATGACTGTTGTTCTAACCGCAGCGCCAGTTCTAACATGTCTGCTAGACACAGTTTCTAATCAGGCTGATATGAATGCAACATGAAACAAAAATTTCGATCACAAGTTCTCATCGCTTGGTTACTTTTTCTGAAAGAATTACCCAATTGGTACGCGCGTTAACACAGTGTTTGTCACTTGGGTCAAGAAACTGATGCCAATGAATTGAAATGCTTCCTCTACTCCCTCAAATGGTTTTATGAGACCAGTTCTTACATAGGAACAGGTTAGATTACAAGAAGAGTCAGGCCACATTAAGTTTGATCCACCTGGTAAACCGGTTTGAAGAACTTACCGCCATACTCTCTTTTATCTTGTCCCTATGTGAGTAAGGGAACCATTTTATAATCTGTGGAGAAAGTAATCAACTCGAATATGAAGTATGCCACCTTACATTTAACAATTGATTTGCGTATGTCAGTGATTGAAGATGACAAATTAAATAACGCAAATAGATCATATAATCATCCACTGTCACATCTTCCACCCCGTTATCGGAATTGGCCAGAATACCCTCTCGAGTGGAAGCTAGCCGATGAGCTCGAGAACTGGAATCCAAATATTCCGCTGTTAAATGTCTATGGTGAATGAAAATTAAAGATAAGCGTTAGGCCTCAACTAACTCCAATCGTTTTAGATAATCCCCATGAATCGCCTCCACGGCGGCTGTAGAAGAACAAAACCGTTTCCAGCGAAGTAAATAACCGTGTTTCATCAAAACTGTTTGATGCATCCTGTCAAGAAAGTACTACAATTTGTTTCCAACTTTTTATTAGGAGAAACGCCTCAAACCTGATGCAGTAAAATTGGCAACGTTTTTTCGGTATACTCTCGTTTGTTGCATGCTTCCAATTCTTTTGACATTAGGTCAGCTTGAAGTATATTTGCTCGCGGTTCTAGTACTTGTAACGTCCGTTGCAAGATGAGTTTCCTCTCTCGACGAAAAAAGTCAGGATCTTTCGGAATGTAGATTGAGCTGAAAGGGTTCCGTGGGAATTGGAAATTCAAAGCTCTACCTCATTCCCTTCGATGGAATGCCGTGAATTAACTCATTCTCTTCTATTTGTGATTTTAATTCTATAATGTCAGCTCTGAGGCCGTCTTCTTGTGTCTTAAGAACATCTTCATCTTCATCCATTGCTGCTTCTGGATCGATACTAAAAGTCAAAAACAAAATTTTTCACATTATTAGCATACAGTCAGAGTGAACAATTTTTTGAGCGAGCTAGAGCAGCTGTATTGCACTCTCTAGCTTTGTCACTCAACTGAACATGAACACAGTTATCATCATTCCTAGGAAACTAACCACCGATCTAGCGAAAAGCCGGGACACCAAATTTTATCAATTTTCGTTCAGTTCAGAAAAAAATACACCGAAAAAGGACAACTCTTCCAACAAAAAAATATTTAATCAACTGAACTTAGCCCGCCCGAATCCGTTTGAAAACGGGTGCTCTGGTCATTACATTCTTGTACTTTTACATGACAAGTAGCAACCGTGTATGACAGACTGGTGCAGGCTGCGGTTATATAAGTTTGTGGTGACAATGGGCGTATACTCATGGCACTAATAAGGATCTTCAATGAAAATAAATGTTTCCGTAAATCATTTTAAGAGATTTTCAACTATAGGGCATTCAAAGTGGCCTATTATTACTAAGACACACATAAATGGTAGTCTTCACGAAAACGATTTCACCACGTGTGAGATGGTAGGACGATACCGTGAGTCTATATCCATTTTGGCTCTATAAACATGTATATATACTGAGAAGGCAAGCGCTAAGTGAGCATTTATCGCAGCGTCTCGATCCAGAATAGCACTCGTTGTCAAAAGATAGTCTGGGAATGAATTCAGTCTTCTTGGGCCTCGCGCTATGGTCTGCGTCGCACCTGTTTTCCATCAATCCCGCGTGCAATCGTAGCGTGACGTTTAACAATTTCGATGTATCGATTGAATGAGTTGATCGAATGGAGCACTTCAAGGATCAGACGTTCCCACTTCCTTTTTGCCCTTTCTACTGTTTTTTCTCTATTGATTATGATTTCGTAACCTGTCGTTGTGCAGTGGGTCCAAAGGTGAGAATTCGGATCAGCGCGTCGTAGTGCACGTGTGTTCCTGTAGGCGAGTGCACAATTGTTTGTCTGTCTCTCCTACGTAACGCTGATCACAGTCGAAGCACGGAATTGCGTGCAACACCCCTGATTGGTCACGTGATTCTACGTGGTCTTGACCGTTAAATAATATTGATTGCAGTGTTGTGGGTTTATGGGCAATAGTAACACCCAGAGGGGGAAGGATCCGATCAACGGTTTCTGATACCCCACGTTTATAAGGGTATGTATACAAGGGTGGTGCGCCGCAAGGGTCAGTTCTAGGTTGGTTGCTTTCCCTAGCCTGTGTAAATAAGTTTCCTATTAGTTTTCAATCCCGTTGAAAAAATATACGCGGAAGATCTCAGGCTATGGCGGGCAGTGACTTTCGACGACGATTTCGTCACTCTACACGAAGACTTGGTAGCTCTGGATCTTTGACCCTTGAGACGGTCTCTATCCTTCAATATCGGAAATTTAGCGCGTAAGCGGATAGGCCAAGCATCCAGCGCTGTGGAGTACTCTATTCACGGCAACCCTCTATGCCCATCCACACAGGAAAAGCATTTTAGTGTGATCGTGGCCTACAATTTTAAGACGAGCAGCCGCGTCGGTTGAGTATGTGTGTCAGTCTGAAGAATACTGGGAGGCATCCAGCGATCTTTAGTGGACTTCCTCTGAACACCTGTATAAACACGGTTCTTTCACTTATTGCCTACGAGTCCTCTTTTACTCAAAACGAGCTCTGGTTTTGCCAAGTGCAATTACCTGGTTACGCTCAACCTTGTCACTCGACCCAGGGAGTCACGCTTCCTCGTTGCAGATGCAAACCTTCCCCTTGCACATCTCGCTCCATAAGCTGCTGGTCTCCGTCTCCTTACTCGTTCAGAGTAACAGTCTTATTGCTCTTCATCATATTCAAGAATTTGCGTTTATTTATCGCAGATAGCGCTAGCTGTCTAAACACCTCCAAAGTGTTTTACGGCTCCCACGTGCGTTTGAGACCGGAATATGGCGGCTATGTATCACGTTCATGCACAACGGTAGAAGCAGACAAACTGGACACGGTACGGTGCACTGCTGCTCGTCTCACCGCATGCTGAGTGAAATGAACTTAGATGGACGCCCACTTGCTTACAGGCGGGCAAAAATGAGTCTCCACCAGATGCATGACCCACAGAGACCTGGTTTATGAAACGCACGCGATGCTTCCGCTTGGACATCACAATCGCACTTGGATACACGCATCAAATCTGGCAAAGCGACACTCGGTTGGACTACCACTGGTGTGCCCTCTATCCCAGTGGGGATGAATTTGTGAATTAAGGTTCCAAGTGACGTGGGGGAGGAGGAAAACGAAAAATTGTTTGAGCATCCGTTAGATGAATTCCTGAGTAGATAGAGGGGTACACGAACATCCAAGTCATATCACTGAACTCCGACAATGTGACCTGAACAAGATTACATACACTGTTCGTATAAGAAGCATTTGGGTGGATTCTGTAGGGTTCAACGATTGGTATTCTTCGAGAGAAGAGATAATATCGGAATAACCTGGTAGTCTTTAAGAGTATAAGATGCATAAACGACACGAGTGCCCCACTATTCACTGTCACTGACAACGTGGCATTACGCGGGTACTCATTGAACTTGGCAAAAGTGTGTTTCAGATTGGGAGTTCGGGCATTGTTCCTAACAAACCGTATTGTGAACAGTTGGAACAAACTCCCAGAATCAGTGGTCACAGCAACAAATGAGACAAACTTTAAGCGAAACCTGAATGATCGCTGGCTGACTGTATTCCCTGAGTTTGAGTGATCATGTAAGATAAACCATAGGCCAACCTTTGAGCCCCATGTTAAAGAGTGTCTTACATATTGTAATTTTTCTTTTTTCTATGAACGTTTTCCTCCATAATTAATAGGTCTTATTTTCGATCATTTATGAAGTAGAACTGTTTCGTTCTCATAGTCTTCATTTACAACTTATGCGTACCCGGCGGTAGGGTGTGCCCGGCTTGAATGTTTTGCACAGAAACCGGGGCAGGCGATGACATTTTGTTGACTGGAGCCCACTGATATTACCGGTTGAACACTCGGACATCTCATTTGAATCTGTCTGATCACCAACCAGAAATCCGGAGAGAAGAGCGAAGAACTTCTTCTGCAGTTGAATCACAAGGGGTTGGTATCAGAGTTCACAAGTGCAATAAAATGGACGTATTGACAATAGCCACGAGTCCTTTGTACCTGACCTGAACCTGGACCTAAACCTGATCTGAATTTTTGTTGAAAGACTATTTTGAATCATATTTAAAAATGGCCAGTACGTAACATTCACTTTCCACGGAAATCCACGTAGAAGGTTGCAACCAACAGGAAGACCAACCGGTTGACCCTCTCTTAGCACCTTTAGGTCAAAACTTATTGACTCGCAGTGTAGAAAGTCACAAGATCAGCCGACAACACATTAATTAATAATAATAGTTGAGTCCGTGATATCCTTAGAAATACTGGTGTGCCCGTTTATGCACTCATAGATAGGCTACAGAGGATTGGTAGATGGAGAGATGAATGCGTGCCAGGAACAAGGGTCTGCTGGGCCCATTTTTATCGAATTCGGTAATCCCAGTATTAGGGATATGCTCTCATGCTCTATTGAAAAGGTAAAACGAGCTACTGGGGCTAGATATCGGACAGCATCAGATAATCTGAATAACATAACTAAAAGACCCTTGGCAGACGTTCGTCAAAAATGGAATTAGCCGCAACTAGGAAAACATTTACCGATAAAGAGCGGCCCACAAGGTGTTCAAACCCACACCTTGGTAAAGATTTACAAACTAAAACGTGGACAGCTATGCGTAGGTCATTGTATCCAATCCACTTAGAGATAGCCCTCAGAAGGTTGTTGAGCCCATCAGCTCCGGGCATCACAAGGTATGTGAAAGGAAAATACAACCGATAACGCCGAAAAGAAACTCAACACAATAGTTTAAACAAATGAACCCACTACAGGTAACTCCATTACTCTGTGGTTAGGGGGACAAACGGCAGACAAAAATTCACCTAGGTAAACCAGGGGCGACCATAGAGACATGCAAACTGCAGTCACGGTAATAAAATAACACCACTAAATGAAATGTTGCGCATAGATTTTAAAATAATAATGACCCCTGTCTCCACATTGAGGTCTGCACGAACCACTAATATAAGCGATAGGTGACTAATATAAGAAAGCTGAGGGTAGCAGCTGTGTTGTTATTAAACGATGCCTCCGTTAAAGCGGAAATCATGAATAAAACGGAGTTGGACTGTGAGAAGACAGTCACCGACAAGACGGCTCAGACAAAAAGAATGCCTGTTAAGGACCGCGCCGAGAAGAAATGAGGGTAGGAGTAAATGCTCATGAAAAAATGTACCCAGCCTTTTGGTGCTACACCAGAGGGAACTCATAAAGGAAATAGCCTAAACATTGAAGCCACAGCACTACGAAAGAAGGTTTAAAAACGTGGTATACAAAAGTCTGCAGTGTTGGAAATAAGTGGGGTGAATTGGCAATCAGATTCCTTGAATATGACATAGTCATACTGACTGAAACATGGTTGTCGCCAAAACACGTCATTGATCGCCTCATCCC